TTCTTCTTCTTCTTCTTCTTCTTCTTCTTCTTCTTCTTCTTCTTCCTCCTCCTCCTCCTCCTTCTTTCTTCTTCTTTCTTCTTCTTCTTCTTCTTCTTCTTATTATTATTATTATTATTATTATTAGTAGTAGTAGTAGTAATAGTAGTAGTAGTAGTATTTATTAAATTATTTTATATGATAAATGTTTGGGGGTTGATGAACAATCTAAAAATTAACCCTTATGAAGGGTTAATGAGCTGAAGAGAACTCCCTCTGATCACCTCTGATCACATTGTCTCTGAACTTGAATACAAATTTAGCAACACATTATGATAACATGGCTTTCTTCTAGCCAAATTTAGTCTTCATGCCAAAAAAGATTTTGCACCAAATTTCATACTTTATTCTTACTCACTTTGTCAAAAGATTGTAAGCTTTTACAGTGCTGTGTTGATCAATATATAATTGATGTAATATTGTGCTGCAAAAAGTTCTCTTTAAATATTTGTGCTCCTACTTCAAGTACAGATAGAAGACAGCTACACAAGTATATAGACTGCTGCTCTTGAGAGATTTATTGTGTTGTATTATCAGTTGTCTCCTATCTGATGGGTAACTGAAGAACATCTATGAATACCAATGTATTAACTTAGCTAAATGTGAATAATCATTGCATTATTTTAAAATGAGGAAGGTAAAGATAGTAACATGAAGGAAACCCTAAATTATCTATTTCTATATCTATCAATAATAATAGGAATGAACAGAAGCAATTTGAATTATATTTTAAAAGTCATTATCGATTTCTATCTTTCTTTCACTACTTATCTATTTTGCTAGATCTCTAATTAATTGCTTGTGGAAGATGTTTAGTATTTTGGAACAACAGAAACTTTATTTGCATTAAAAAGACTACTGGTGCATTCTATTTTTTAATTATTAAAATCTAAAAAATATTTTCATGTAACATAGCTGCATGAAAAGACAAAGCTCTGCCATCTACATTTATATTTACTTTTTTATTTAAGTCTTATATTTCTACTCAATAAGTGTTAAACTGTTTGATGTGCCCCTCATTTGCAGCTGTAATCAATATTTCAAATAACTTTAGATGTCTGCCATGTTGCAAGGATGTAAAATGGATGCTGACTGGAGATAATCTGCAGAACAGATCACGTTAAAACAATAATATGAAGTCCCAAGGCAAAATCCAATATATTCAGTTTTGGCATTAAAACAGATCAAGCTTTCCTAATGGGCACCCTCCAGCTATCACTTTTATCCTGAACCGGTGTCCATTGATCTTCTGGCTGATGGATTGTCAGAAACATAATCCAACATATCTGAAAGACATTTATTTAAGCAGACTAGTCTATATCTGGAATAATAAGTCTAGACTAGCCCTTGCAAGAAAATAAAATGACAAAAATCTAATTCATAATATCTATAATCTGCCAAAAATTCCTGTCAACTTCTTTATATCTTAAAAAGTTTCCATTTTGACTGCCCTTATATTTTCTCAGATACCTTGTGGGCTAGATTAGGGTAATTCAATGTGTACAGCTTGATGTCTGTGGAGATTCTCAGTCATCCCGGTCATGGTTGCTTTTTCCAAAGGTGCTTCTTCCAAAAGCAACTGGACTTTGGTTTTCCTTGAAGATGTTTTGCTTCTCATCCAAGAAGTTGGCCAGAACTTAATAGCAGTAGACTTAGCAGTAGACTTATATACCGCTTCATAGGGCTTTCAGCCCTCTCTAAGCGGTTTACAGAGAGTCAGCATATTGCCCCCAACAATCTGGGTCCTCATTTTACCCACCTCGGAAGGATGGAAGGCTGAGTCAACCCTGAGCCGGTGAGATTTGAACCGCTGAACTGCTGATCTAGCAGTAGCCTGCAGTGCTGCATTTAACCACTGCGCCACCTCGGCTCTTAAGAAGCTTCTTGGATGAGAAGCGAAACATCTTCAAGGAAAATCAAGGTGGCGCAGTGGTTAAATGCAGCACTGCAGGCTACTTCAGCTGATTGCAGTTCTGCAGTTCGGCTGTTCAAATCCCACGGGCTATTCAAATCTCACCGGCTCAGGGTTGACTCAGCCTTCCATCCTTCCGAGGTGGGTAAAATGAGGACCCGGATTGTTTTTGGGGACAATATGCTGACTCTGTAAACCACTTAGAGAGGGCTGAAAGCCCTATGAAGCGGTATATAAGTCTAACTGCTATTGCTATTGCTATTGTTTATTGTTTATTGGATTTTAAGTCCAGTTGCCTTTGGAAAAAGTATCTTTGGGACGTGTACAGCTTGTTTTTACAAGTGAAATATTTCTACATTAACTTAACAAAAGTGTTGTTGTATTCATAGTGTCTGCAATATACATTATACATATAGTCTTTGATTTACAACTGGTCACTTAGTGCCCATTCAAAGTTACAACAGATCTACTTTGGGAGTACTTACAGCCCAGATTCAAAGTTCCAATGGTCAGGTCCCCTCCAGGGTCACATGATCACTTGGCAATACAGCCCCATTGATGGCCATTTGCAGCATCCTGTGATCACATGACTCTTTTACGATTGTTTGGCTGAAAACTGGACATTTATTTCCGGTTTTCTACAAAACCACACCCATAGAGAACCATGGGTTTGCTTAATAACCACCACTTTATGATTACTACTAAAAAGGTCATAATATCAGGTTGATCATATTTTATAAACTTTACAATGTATGACCATAATGGGCAGATTCTATTATAGTCATATGTAAATAACTACCTACATTGAAAACAGCCCCAAATGAAGATTTATATAGATGTACTTATTTTTTTCTTTCTCTTTCTATCTTCATGCTACTCAATAGAAAGACCAGAAAAAACAACAGCTGAACTCAAAGTTGCAGGTAAACATATAGTATATGTACATAGCATATAGTACATACATACATATAACCTATGTAATAAATCATGAGAACGTGTACCTGATGGAGCTTAATGTACCCAGAACTTCACCTGATATATCTACTGAGCACCATAAAAACTAATTATACCTGTCCCATTAAATAATCTGCCTCAAAGTGTCAAATATTCTATTTTTACCACTCACTTCATCTTCAAGGTTGCTGCAAACTTTAATCACTTACTTAGAATTATCTGGCTGTTAGTGTCTGGAAGGGTAATGTAGCATGTGGAGAGATTATGCTAGGCTGCTCACAGTTGAGCAAATAGAGACTGAAGTTGCATTAAAGTGAGCTGGATCTGGATGGTGGGGAGGGGGGCAGATAGAATGAACAGCTTTATGGTAAACTGCCAACTACCTGCTGTTGTTCTCAGCAGGAGGTATCAGAGTGGCAGCCGTGCTCCAGCTCTGCACCTTAGTTAATTTCAGTCTGTCTCCTTGTATGAAGTCACAGTTGATTGACTGTATTCAGGGATGCCTGGAAAAAAAAGGATGCTGAAGAAAGACATCTGTGCATATATCAAACCACTTGAGATATGATTCAATCCAAGTCCATAGAAGAGCATGTAAATGTGCAAATATAAGATCTGCTCTGTTTCCAACCATGTTTAGCTTCCCTGCTGCTGACAGACGGAAATCACAAGCTTGTTTTCTCCAAGGGTTTGTGAAACAATATGCAAATATCAAAGTCCCCTAAAGTTTAACCTCTATGATTTGGGCATTTTTGCAGATGAGAAAAAAGCAGAAAAATCTTTGAGAGAAAAGAAAGAAAAACATGGTAAGACTGGGGTATTTTCCTCTTTCTAAAAGATTGTATGAAAAGTAATCGTTCTCTGAATTTGCTAATATCTTCCCTTCTTCACTTACCTTAATATTAATGAAGTGGATTGTATGAGCTTCAGTTTAAATATTGCATTTGATTTTTCTCTTTTTTTTCTTTTACTTATACAGGAAAAACAGTTGAAAAGACACCCTTGAAAGTAAAACATGATAAAGGTATGTATGTATGTATGTATGTATGTATGTATGTATGTATGTATGTATGTATGTATGTATGTATGTATGTATAAGGTTTCTATCCAGCCATTCATTCAAGGCAATCTGCACAAACCTTTTCCTATGAAGTAGATTGGGGTGATGCAGAATGAATCCAGAATCATCCAGTGAACTTCAGTGGCTGAGATAGATTAGAGTCTTTGTCTCCTTCTTCTTATTACAGCAACATACAATGGTCCTTACAAACCATAAATCTAGAGAGTTACTTTTAAGAGAAGAACAACAAGCTTCTAGATTTTTGTTTGAAACTGGACTGTTGTGGTATTTAGCTTTTCTAGAAATCAGTTGGTCCTCTGTAACTACTGTATGCTTGGGGATGGGAAATGGAATTAGTCCTGAACAGTCTAGGAGAAAGAGGGGGAAAGATAGAAACAATGTCACCCATTGTTCATCATGAGTGAAGACCTTTGATTCCATGATTTTTTGACTCAAAGAAGTTTTCCCTCTAACCTTGATAAAGTCTTGTGGACTTTGATTAAGGGCTAAATACTGTGAAACATGTAAAGTTCTTTGAAGAGAGTAGCTGTGCATCTAATGTGTGTGTTTATGTATCTATCTATCTATTTCTATGTCTATAACTCTTGTATTTAGAATCCAAAACAATTAAATATTTTTGTTCTGTTTAACAGTTTCTGCAGAAAAAACAGCTCATTTTTATTACAATATGACTACAGGTAATTGGTGGTTGGTTTCCTCCTCCTCCTCCTCCTCCTCCTCCTCCTCCTACCTTACTCTTTAAATCCAATGGCTATTAAGATTTAGTATTCATTGTTCACTATTGACACCCATTGATCGTAATGAAAAACCACATTTTTACTTGAGTTTACTTGAACTCATATGTGGTTATTTCCCAAGCTATAACTTTCTACTGTTTGATATACTATGGTTTGGGGTGGGGGAGCATTTGTCCAACTTCAGCAGGTGCTCTAGCTGCAGCCCTACCTGGGACCTTCTGATAGTAATCCATGCCCTCATTAACACTTGATTAGATTTTCTGCAGCTATTCTACAAGACCATTCGGGAAGCTGTAGGCAGTCCAAAATGGGGCTGATGTAGAATCTGGCACTCACGCATGGACCCTATGTTGGCTTCCTTAGGTTTTCAGATAAAATTTAAACTTGGCAGCAAGTTAGTTTCAGGGCTGCTTTTACCCATGAGAATCACACCTGACCGATTCAATATTTTTGGGAAAAGTGATCTTTCCTCCTCACTTTTGCATGGTATAGGAGGCTAAATCATGTTGCATTTCTGTAGCAGCACCAGTCTTTTGGAATGGCCTCCTTCTGGAACATAGGCTAGTTCTGAACTTAAATGTCTTTTGGAAGCAGCTGAAAACAGGTCTTTTCTGGAAGGTCTTGGAAGCGGTTTCCATGCGCCTGAAAAGAATATTCAAAAATAGACAAATACAGAATCCTTATGGTATCACCCAGGAGGATTTCTTATACAACTGTGCAAAAAAAATATATCCTTTCATCCCATTATAAAAGGCATTCATAGTCATAGCTGTTTTGAGTTTCAGTATGATGTGACTTCAAAAATGCTGCCAGATTAAGTTAATTAAGTAGCAAAGAAAGCAATTAAAAGAAAGCAAATTAGCAAAGAAAGCAAAGAATTAGCAAAGAAACTTGCTCTACAGATTCTCTCCCTCTTTCTGAGATTTTCTTTCTTTCTTTTCAGAAAAAATTTCAAAAGCTGCAAAACCAGGAAGTAAGTTAAAGGCCTTGCAAATATCTTTGTTTTTCAAGTGACTTTAATTCCTTGTCAGGACATGTAACTTGGTATCCACAGTATTGTTTTACCTCATCTTGTCAGATTAAGAAAGAATGAACAATTTGCCTTTGAAAACTAGTTAATGAGGGAAAGCTCATTTTACATACTTTGTAAGATTAAACTAACATTGAAAGCAGTTGCATTATGTAGGAGAAAAGATAAATTAGAAGAAAGAATGTGAACAAGACATCAATTTTTATACATTTCGTGTTGCTACCTGCACAATTACAAGAGGTGATAGTTCCAAAAAATAATTTCCATATAGGTCAGATACTATATATCAGACTTTTTCCAACAGCTGTGTAATTATTGGAACAATGTATTGAATTCTGCTCTTCAGTTTAGTTGTAATAAAAATGTAACAAAACTTACCTATTCACTCCTTCCCTTTCCAGTAATTGTGTCATAGATTATGGCCATCACATAAATCTTCACATCTCCATCTTCTACAATTTGTTTTTGAAGTTTAGGATGGGAAGGATTTACATTATATTATTATAGTTGTAGTACAATGATTCTTTAATACCAAGAATAAGACTCATGTCAGTAAAATTGATTTGTAATCCAGTAATTCATATGCAGTACGGGTTAGAATTTCAACTTTCACTAATTTTTTGCAGTTGAAAATTGTGCTCATGGAAGGCCAAAAGCCCACATGAACCTATTTTTAAAATTCTAAGCTATAACTCTACTAAATGGAAGACTTGCTTTATATTCTTAGAATAATTATTAGCCTTGACTTTATCATCTTCCTTCAAGAAAGAGGGGTTCCTTAGAACTGCATTAGCATCAATAAAACAATGTTTTGCAACTCTTAAAAATGGACCTGCATAAATGTAAGAAAAGTTCAGATTAGTTGAATAGAATCTGTGTATGGTCCATGTTGATTCACTATTTTTGTAACATTGAAAACCCTTATTTTTATCCATGAATGTGAATCAAATGGCATGTTCCCATCTTAATATCTCAATATCCCTCTCAATATCTCAGGGGTTGCCACAAAGAAGAGGGAATCAAACTATTCTCCAAGACACCTGAGTGTAGAACAAGAAGCAATGGGTAGAAACTAATCAAGGAGAGAAGCAACTTAGAATTGAGGATAAATTTCCTGACAGTTAGAACAATTAAGCAGTTGACAGCTTGCCTCCAGAAGTTGTGAATGCCCCAACACTGGAAGTTTTAAGAAGATGTTGGATAGCCATTGTCTGAAACGGTATAGGGTTTCCTGCCTAGGCAGGAGGATGGACTAGAAGACCTCCAAGGTCCCTTCCAACCCTGCTATTGTATTGTATTGTATTGTATTGTAATGGGAAGAGGAAAATGGGTTGCATATATTTGCCATCTTGAGTTATTTGTAAAAATGCTAAAGACAAAATATTAACTACTGGTAATTGGAATGGACAAACCACCTAAGTAGATTCAATGGCTTACTTCTTCTCCATTCATATGTCCCCTGCATGAATGATACTGCTGAGAGCAAGGTTGTTTTGTTTTGCTTCTGATGTGAATTATTATCTTAATCTTGTAAATTGATTGCCCCAGTGAGAGGGAAGATGTCTTCACTGAGAAAGTTTCTTTTTAGGGACAGTCTCCTATCTGAACCAGTGTATTAATGAACCATAAAATAAAAAAGACAAAGAATTCTATTGTTTCTCAGCTTTGTTTACAGCCAATTAATGGTTTTGGGAAGTCCTTTAAAGCCTGGTTCATATATGGAAGCTGTTGACCATTTGATGTAATGCACCACTTGTGTATTCACTGAACATGATGTAAATTTCTCTTGCATGAGGCTGCTGAAATACCTACCATTGTTGTCCGGCTTTCTCTAGGAGGCTGGACTGGATCTAATTAAATGGGCATCGAGAATCCTGGAATTTCTGATAAGATAGTTTAATTCAGTGGTGAAATTCAATTCTTTTACTACTGGTTCTGTGGACGTGGCTTGGTGGGCTTGGCAGGAGAAAGATACTGCAAAATCTCCATTCTCACCCCACTCTGGGCCAGGCAGAGGTGGTATTTGCCAGTTCTCCGAACTACTCAAAATTTCCACTACTGGCTCTCCAGAACCTGTCAGAATCTGCTGAATTTCACCCCTGGTTTAATTGTAGAAAAGTTAAGGAGCTATTATGAAACAGTGAGGGCATCTTGCATTTATCAAATGCAAGCTCTGTTTATAAGGTTTCATGTTCACATTTTTTTGCATCTATTTCTTCTACCCATTCTAAAAGCAATTATCTTGGTTGGGAGATACAATTTCCATCTGTTTCATATTTTGGTAGCCAGATCTGGTATTTGTCTGTGTGAGAACCTTTACAGTTGTTTGTTTCATCCAGAGATCACAAATAGCTTTCTATAACCACTTTCTGATCAACCTCAGAGTGAGAGGGCTGTTCTGTAGCATAAATGTTTCACCCATGAACTAGAGCTAAGCAAAATACCCCCCAGCATAATATCCTAGGATGTTTGGACTTTAATTGCAACCTAATGGTTTCTATAAGAGATGTCAGTATGAGAGCATACCTGTGATATATTGTGCATTTTATGTTGCATTGCCTTGCTTACAAATAAGATTGCTGGTTATAAATACCTAGAGGGAGGAATTAACAATTGAACAAAGAAAAACTGGACTTTATCTAATACAGAAATCTAGGGAGTAAACAATAATGAACATACTGACAGTATTAAATCAGATTTAGTTAACATAGGAACTGTTGACTTGTTGAATTGTTTTTAGCTAAATGTTTAAAATTAATACTTTTTACTCCATTTTGTTGGCTCAATGATAATTTGATTAATAATTTGGTAATATACTTATGATTAAAAAAAATTGTGCATCCCAAACAAGACTGTGAACTATACTGTTGGCTATGTACAGAGGCACCCATTGATAGGTACAGTAGGTCATAAATGATGAATTAGATTAAAGACAATCTGTTGGAGAAGGAAATAACAACCTACTCCAGCAGTTTGCCAGGATAGAATATTCAGATTTATGGCAACATGATATTAGAAGACTTAAGAGCAAGTCACAGACATAAGTATTGGTAGTGATCATGATAAGTCTAGATTAGCGCTAAAAGCATATTTAGCTAAGTCCCCAGAGGCAAAAAATAAATTTAGGGCTGCAAAAATATGTGTACGATTTGTACCTGGATTGTCAAAACAAAACATACTTGATGCTGTCAGAATAGAAACGTTGAGAAGCAATTACTGGCAGACAATCCTGGCAAAATGATGTCCACTGGGTCATGAAGAATTGGAAGAGACTGAATGATTGAATAACAATACTAATTAGCAACCATGTCCTTTCTCTTATTCCAATAATTGTTGTAGGCCAAAATGTGTACAACTTATGTTTTATTGGTGACATTGAAATCATTGGCAAGTATTCAAACGGTATGCCTGGAGAAACTCCTGCCAACCAATGCAAGGCAACAGAAAATGAGAAAGAAGTCCCATTTTTAATTCTATGAGATAATGGTATATATAGTAGCTTTATTAAGGCACACATGCAGATTTATACCTTCATATCATATGCTCATGGAGAAATTCATTACCATAATATTATTTCTTTCAATAACAAATCTATTGTGGACAAAACATCTAATATACTTTGCAAACTTCATTCCAGATGCCCAACATATTCAAAGACCTTAATTGCTGCCAATGTAATCTTCGGTTGTAGAGTTGTAGAGAGTATCTTCTTTGGGTTTTTTTAAGGAATGTTTCACATGGATTAGGGCACTAAAATATAACATATTTTACTTCTAACTGTTATTTTGGATACTTGTACCCTCGGTCTATCCATCTCAGTTCAGGCTTCCTTCTCCCTCTCTAGCTGCCCATGACACTAATGAAGCTCTTCCTCCTCCTCTTCTTCACCAAATCCTGGCGATCCCTTTAGAGATAATTCTTTGAGAAACCACTTCTTTCTTTTAAGTGACATGCAAAGGTTCAGGGAATTGAAAATGCCATAAAGAACATGTCCCTTTGGTCCAGCTAGATAACTTCATCACAGATTGGGCACAGGATATAAACTGAGAGTGATTTGGGGGGTTGTGGTTTTGGTGTTTTTGTTTTTGTTTTGCTTTCCTCCACTGTTTTCCTAATGCAAGCACTTTGAGGAAACAGTTTGAGAAAAAAATAGTTACTAAAGGGCTAGCTATTTATTCTCTTGCAGCCCAAATGAACAGTAAGACTGATGTACCTATGACATCATAAGTTGACAAAGGCTTATAACAAACTTATAACATCAGATATTTACTGGTCTTTTACAGTGACAAAGAGTGCCTGGTTATTTCGGATTTTTTAAAAAAATAAATAAAAGGATCTGGTTCTCAGTGGACCAGTTAATCAAAGTGAACTATGATGTTGTTTCGTGACACAGTGTGCTAATGAACTCTCCATCTGCTTTGCCTTTGCTGCCAAAGTACTTTGCTTTAATGAAAGATGTCTGCTGAGTGACCTGCTCCTGACCCACAAGCATAACTCATTACATATTTGGCTCAAGATGGAATTGCACCGAGATATCTCTAATTAGCAAAAAAAATTATATTCAGGTCAAGATTCAGGGCTTCACATTTAACAGTCTTTCCTAGGCAGCTGCAAGCCATTTGACACATCAAATATGATGACCAGCCTCAAAAATGTGCATCAAGAAAAAAAGAGTCCCTTTTAGAAGACAAGCATTTAATTGTTAAAGACTTGGATCTGCATCAATAAGATTTGCGTTTGAGCAAATCTTACCACATTTTTTCTCTAGTTTAATTGTGTCTGGTATGGAAAACCGAGCAATAATATATCTTCATATTACTCCCTGTTTGGGGGGGGGGCATGCCTGCAGATGTACACAGATGTGTGTATAATTCGTACATCTCCTTGTACAAATTATATAAGAAATATAGGCATAGCACACAGGAGACAACCAACAAAGCAATTTGGTTAATGAAAAGTCTGATGCTAGAGCAGGGGTGTCAAACTCAAGGTCTGGGGACCAGATTTGGCCCATGGGGTGCTTAGATCTGACCCATGGGATCAGCCTGGAAACAGGAAACAACCAGCCCATGGTGCCTCTGCCAGCAAAAACAGAGAGCTTCATTTTTGCCGGCAGAGGGTTTCAGGACATATCACAAAACAGAGCTCAGGAACCCGTTTTCACTCGCAGAGCGCTACAGGCACACTCTATACGAGTGATGTAGAGCTGGCTATCCCCACCCTGGCCACAACCATCCTGCCCCCCCCCCCCTTGAGGTCAAACACAACCTTGATGCAGCCTCAATGAAATCGAGTATAACACCCCTGTGCTAGGGCCTTGAACCATTCTTCCATTTCCTTTGTGAATGATTTCTCACCCACTGACACCCATGGGAGATAAGGCAAAGATTCCAAATCCAGGATTGGTATTATCTTCCTGATGCTTGGGGGGGAGGAAAGCTCACTCTTTTCTTTCCCCTAAGTCACAGGCTCTGACAGCATGAAAACCTGGCTCTGTCAGTTGGTCTGGGGACCTAATGCAGGAATACCATACTGGAGGTGGCTATTAGATTAATCAGCTGACCCCACTTTCCCCCCTGTACTTCCTACTTTTCCTCCTACCCATCTTTTAATTCACATTGTTGTACTTTCATTGTTTATTTTTGTTTTATTGCTTTACTATTGTTACATTTACATTTTTAGTCATTTTTACTATTCTAAGCTGCCCAGAGCAACCCCAGAGTGAGACGTGCAGCAAATAAATTTAACAAATAAATAAAATTAATCAATCAGGGAAAGCAGGGCAGAGGGAATTTCCATAGAGGCTGACAAGGTGGATCACCATCATATGCAGAGAAGGCAAGGACCTAGACAGCGATCATTGAACATTGTACTTTGTATCATTGCATCTCATACTATTCTGCACCGTAATTGTGCAGTGGTTAGAATGCAGTACTTCATACTAACTGCTCACCCCAGGAGTTCGATCCTGACCTGCTCAAGGTTGACTCCACTTTGATCCTTCCAAGGTCAGTAAAATGAGGAGCCAGATTGTTGGGGGCGATGTGCTGACTCTGTAAAACCACTTAAAGAGGGCTGTCAAGCACTATGAAGTAGTATATTAAGTCTAAGTGCTATTGCTATATTGAGCAAAAACTAATCATTTCTCTCAGTCTGACAAACCATTAGTATTGTTATTTGTTGTTGCTGTTGTTTCATGAGGCATGGGCACAGTGATAGCTGGTGACACAACCCCATTAGATGACTTGACTGAATTTGGTTTTTTTTCCTTTTTATCATTCCATACTTCTAAAAGTCAAAATAGAAATCCTCCATCTCAAAGAAGCATTACTTTATCCCTCCCTCTCCCTCCCTCCCTTTCTCCCTCCCTCCCCCCTCTCTTACTTTTGGTGTTGTGAACAAAAACTAGTATTTCCAATTATGCCATCATCAAATTTCATCTATGGGATCTTGGGATCCTTTAATTTCTGCAATGTATGCTCAGATTCTTTAGAAGTGGCAACCGGGGAATCCGGGTCTACATGGAACCCACAGGCCATAGATTTCCCAGCCGTTTGAGAAAGACAACACATTTGAAGCTCCAAAGCTCCATCCAATTATTTCAGACAGCTTGTATATGAAAGTCATATGATAATGAATACAAATGGGCATAAATTGTATCTTGGGTCCATATACATTAGCATTTCCATTGTGTATTTGACTTCTAATTTTCTATTTACTAATACGAAAGAGCCTATTTATAATAATTTCTCCTAGAATTATTTCTATCAAGGAGTTGGTTTGATAGCCACATATTTTGACAACAGGCTAGGGAAGTTGATCTGTGCTTTGCTAGATTAGATGTTTTCTCAGTTTACAGCTAAATACACTGATCATTCTTTTTATTCCCCTCTTTTCAGCTGCTGTTCGCTACTATCAATGTGTCTTTGTAAATGGAATTAATGGTTACACTCCTCGATATTCTGTTACTCAAGAAAAACCTGCTGATCCCAAGTTGAAGGCACGGAAACAATAATGTCCTGCAACCTGTGACATTGCAACAGTTTTGCACTTTGCACCCACTTCAGGGGATTATCTGGAAGTCCACTTGGCACCTGTGACAATGGAAGTATGACCTGACTGATCACATGCACTTGTAAAGGTTGTCTCTTGGTTGTTAGAGCACTAGAGACAATTTGATGGCATTATGTGATTAAAGATATCCATACTACCATATTTCCCTGAATGAAAGCATGGTGCTGAAAGAGTACTTGACAGTAAGTTTTGTGTGCAGGTGTAGGTGTATGTATATTTATATCTTCTGTCAAAGTCTGTTTCTAGTTTCTGTTTTAGACCTAGCTATTATGGAAAACATTTTCCATGGTATCAGTTTTGGAAAATGTTAAAACGGAATTAGTTATTTGCAGTACAGTTTGCAATCTACAATAGTGCTAAATGAAATCACAAGTCAGTCCATACTAAACTTTTGAGTGACCAGAATCTAATAATAAAACTTATGTTCTACATATGTTTTTTTGTAAAAGCAAGCAATAAAATGTTTGCTATTTACATATTAGAGAGGTATTTGAATTAAGAATATCAATTTCTTTTTACTTCCTATTTGAAATAACAGACTAGTATCTCAACATTAAAAGAAAAAAAATTAGAATGCTCTAAAGATGTTATTCTGACTACCTATTAAAATAGGTTTTGCTTTGTAAATAATACTGTACCTTTGTAAGTAGTTGTTCTTAATTTCTATTAAATGTATTTTGTGTATATAATTTTATACTTGTTTGCAATGTCAAATTGAACAAATTATGTATTGTTTTACACAAATTGTGTAAAGAGAACTCTCTACACAAAAATTACATCTGAAGTCTTTAACTGAATCAATTTCCTAAGTTTCTAAAGGGAGACTATTGTTGAAATGCTGATATTTATTTTGAAGAGATGGTACAGGGTTTAGGTAACTATGCCTAAAGAGGTTGAAGCAATTCATGACAATGTTTGGCTTTCCCTCTCTGTCTCTCTCTTTATATATTTCATATTTTCATGTCTTGGTCATACTAAAATGTGACTGGAATTTAATGCTACCTAGGCAATTTCCATTACTGTATTTGCAACCTGATCTAATATGGTTTTCCCATTGTGAAAGTAATTTATTGGGAGAAAAACAAATACAGATAAATGAAATACTTGATTACTATCAGCTGTGGAAATGGTAAGGTTCGTTCTGTATTAGACTGAAGGCTAAATCACAGACAAGTGATTTAGGATCATTTTGATAAAAATAAAAGAATGTACTACTTAAAGATATGGACGTGGTGGCTCAGAGGCTAAGACGCTGAGCTTGTCGATCAGGAAAGTCGGCAGGTCAGCGGTTCAAATCCCTAGCACTGCGTAATGGAGTGAGCTCCTATTACTTGTCCCAGCTTCTGCCAACCTAGCAGTTCGAAAAGACATAAAAATGCAAGTAGAAAAATAGGTACCACCTTTGGTGGGAAGGTAACAGCATTCTGTGCACCTTCGATGTTTAGTCATGCCAGCCAAATGACCATAGAGACATCTTTGGACAGCGCTGGCTCTTCAGCTTTGAAACAGAAATTAGCACCATCCCCTAGAGTCGGGAATGACTTGCACATATGTGCAAG